AATACCTCAAACAGAATTAATCTGCTACGTTTCTTTCTGAGATACAGGGTGAAAAGGAAGAGTTTGACTTTTTGGAACGTTATCATTATCCTACCCATATAAATAAGAACCAACGTAAAACTTTCAGTTAAAAAAAATTGTGTCTGAGATTTGACCCAAAATTGGTATTTTTAAATGCAACACCATGTATACATATCTTAACGTCAATTTTGTATTCTTTTTCCTGATTACATTGATGTATCACAACCTATACCTTTTTTATATGATTACATACCGAGCGATCATTAATCATTGCTTATATACCGTTCTTATGAAACATGACATTTGCCCCAACACAAATGATACTATAGCTATATTAAACATAACCTTAAAAATGTTTATTAAAAACAATCATGTAAATAGTATTTATTAGTTGTAGAGTTTCATTAAACCAATTGCAATAATTTACACGTTTTTCAAAGCCGCGGCGATGAAGTTCTTCTAAGAGGTTCCGTATGACAAACGAATTTGTTGGGATAGCTGCCGCAGTGGCTTTTGCAAGCTTTGTTCAAGACGACCACCCACATCTTCTACTGCCGCCTCGTTAGCAACTTTTGGGCGACAAGGGGATTCTCCACAAGTAACACTTCCTGTATCGTCAAATCGCTACACGAAGAATATGGCGGCTTAAGTTCTCGTAATCAACGAAATGTTCAGGACATGCCTCTCGAAATTTCTCCATACACAGGCGAGTCGAGTACGTCCTACTCCGTTTTCGTCTTTACTTCCATTATGGAAATGGGACTGCAAAAGTAGCTTATTTTCTTCCAAAGTGAAAGGCATGTCGCAGTTGAGGAATATTACAATCTAAAACGATAAAACATGAATTTCTGATTTAATATGTAATTTACCCACCTTGTAATTATTCTTTGCAAATTGGTAGCCTTGACAAGACTGTGTAGACAAATGGTTGTGGAAATAAATGGATCAAATGGGAGGTGACAGGCGGATTACATTTAGAGGTTATGTTTAGTATTTGTTCAGCATCACATGCGTTTCGGAAAATGGTTACTAAAATCGTGTTTCATAAAAGCGGCACAGTCGATGATTAATGATCGCATTGTATTATACGAGGTATTATATTATCGTATTTTTCAATATATTGAAATGACATGCCTCTACTGTCAGCGATTTTTATTGATTGGTCTTAGTTACCATGGATATAATGAACAAAACAAAATCTCCGCGAATCCATGACCTACTATGTAAAAACCGTAAAAATTAGGATTTTATTTTTGGTGCATAGCTAAAGTCTCTATCTTTCAAAACAGCTGAGATGTACTGCAGTCTCAAGTCTCAACCAAAATAGGACACACGGTATGACGGTACAGTGCTAATAAGTGCTAACTAAACACCCCAATATTGGATGTGGTTTACAATGGTTATTAAGATGAAAGTTATTGCAAAACACGAAGACCGAGGTAGCAAAAGCGAAGTTTACCGCTAATACCTACCCCAAATATTACTCTTTTTAGAAAAATTAGAGAAAGCTACTAGTGTCAGATGTACAGGGTGGTTCAAATTCGTGGCTCACCGTATTGATCTTCCGATCTTCGTAACGGTGAGAGATACAGTGTATGTAGGTTAAATGGGGGCAAAGTTCGCACCCCTTTGTGATTACACAAAATGCATTTGAAAGTATTGAAAAATCTTTGAAAATAACTGAGATAGCACCAAAAATTGAAAATGCCAATTTCGTTTTTTCCCTAGCTTAAACTGTCCGAAATGGACAGTGTTTTCCTTTTTGAATTGTAATTGTAGTTTTGTGTTTCTTTGGTGCACACCATCGCCAATTCCTGTTTGTGATTGATTGCGTATCCTAGAAGGGGATCGGACTCACTCACTTTTCAATTCATATTTAGATGGATCTAAAACAATGGAAGGAACAAGCACCAGTGGCCTATTAACCTATAAGCCGACAAAGCCCGGGCTTAGGGCGCAGGAATTTTAGGGGCGCAAAAAAGGAGTGAGCGAAACATTATCTGAAAAATCAAAAATGCTCATAAAATATCAACGTATCGTAAGGCAGGGGCGCGAGACAAGATACGTAGCAGTCTAGCACGCTCATAGATGGAGACAGCATCCCCCATCCAATCGAGCCGGTTATTCACTAGCACCACTCCCATAATTGAAACCTCTGAACCACAGTGTACATAATAACATAACTACACTTTTTGTAGGAGGTCGAGTTTCACTTTATTTTGAAGGTAATTACAAAAGAATCACATTCTCAAAACATAATTGGAATTTTGAACCCTTTGAAGCAGATCCCTAGTGATATTGGTGATTTCTTCGAATCATTTATTGTTTCTGGATTTGTTTCCTACACTCTAATTTTTGCACAAATCGGGTGGTGTAAGATCGGGAATGCGTTTCTGGTGAAACTGGACTAGGGTTGCAATTTAAAAATTTTGGGGTTATTACCCTCCAACAAAACTCCCTAGTGTGAAAGTTCTAAGCTATCTAAAATGCAATTTTTGTGACCCGTTATCTCTCCCTTTTTGATTCCGAAATTTTCAGATTTTTCTTATAGCTCCGTCCCGGAAACCCTGTATAACTATACGTATTTATACAGTGTGTCTTAGGTAGAACGCACAACATAGGAAAATGTCAATGTACTTTTTCGCGAAGGATCCATGAGACCTTTGAAATTAGCATTAAACGTACTACTCCTATCTCTTTTTAGCATCAGACAAGCGCAATAACGTACGTTGAACGCTAACTTCAAATACATATCAAAGGCTTCGCGAAAAAATACACTAACTCTGTTTCCCTATGGTGCGTTCAACCTGGAACACACAGTATATTATACTGTCTGAAGTGTGAGTACAAGAATTTTTCTCCATTTGTTTTAAAAGGGGAAACATTTAAGTAGCGAATATTTTAGAAATCCCAATAGACATCGAGGCGCCATAAAAGATTAGTCATCGGCGATAAGAAACGAATGCGGATGTAACCGTTTGTATTTACGGTGGTAATAATGTGACGCATTCTCTCCCGGAAATATGACGTGCTTTGTTCGAAAACATTCCAGAATTAATACTCGTTTGGAAGTGTTCAAAAACGTTCGAGAAACAGGAGCGTATATAAGCAACTCGAATTGTGTTTCAGTCAGTTCCAATTTCAACACCGAAGTATTAAATAGTTCGCACTGTTATAAATTGTGTATATTTAAGTGATAAATAATATTTTAACTGTTATAACACAATTCATTTCAAGACTGTCATAAATTTCTTGTTCATTAATTTTTTTTTTTTAATGTGTGCCATTACGCAGTATCTGCATTTACACTTGTCATTTAACCTAACTTTCCTATAACTATAACACAAGACAAAAACGATTATATTATATCACAGGTCATAAGAAGTTATAAACTTAACGCTTTTACCGACGAAACAGAATTCCTCAAGGTGTAAAAGGCCTTTGACAGAAGATATTTCTTTATACAGTCTTTAAATAGTTGTAATTGTAAATAACTAAATGACGTAATTAATTGTACGTTAGAGTACGCTTTGTCAATGTATTTATATTATGGTAAAAGTTGGTCTGATATGAGGCGCAAAATCTGTTAGGACTTAGGGCGTTGTTGGCCCTTAATACCTACGCCACTGACAGGCACTGCTCTTTACTCCAAAGAATTGAGCTTCCATGTCACCCAACGGCAAATAATCAAAATTAACAGCGATTTGTAAATCCAATAATTTCATGTATTACTAAACTCGCATAGAGGTTAATTTTAAAAAAATTTTATTCCACTTTAGGGTAGGTAGGTACTGATCTAAACTCTGAGCTTTACACCTTGCGTTATAAGGTTTTAGCATTGTTTAAATATTCAACAGTGGTTTTAGCACAATATGGGCTCTGGAATTTTTTCACATCCTTTTTTCGTTGAGCGCTGAAAGGTATGATCACTTTTTGACATTAGGTATAAGTAGCTGAAGAACTTGATGTAGGTACGAAAAGGGGAGGTGAATTAAGTACGGATTCAAGCGATTTTTTAGCAATTTTGCTGAAAAGCTGAATATATGAAATTAAACTCCCTATAAATGAGTAGGTACCTATGTGGTATATCGATGAACAGAAATACAGTAAAAGATAAAAATACGTTTTGGACTATGGTGATAAAGAGGTATAATTTTAAAAATTGCGGTCATCTGCGAGGTTGGCGCCTCTTTTCCTGAAGGGTGATTGTTTCAGGCAATAGGTATAGGTAGGTATATGAATAAACGGGACGTTTTACAAAAAAAAACTATCTAGCACTAATAAAATGAAATGCGAAGCAATCTTCACTATCGAAGAACACAAAATAAACTTCACAGAAGGCAGGGTGTCTACTGAAATGAAATTATCGGAGGCTGAGATTATGATTAAGCGTGGGTTATGACTTATGATTAATGTCCTACCACCGGCAAAGAAATCCGAAACCAACCTTTTGGAAAATACACAGCATCATTTTGATACTTAAATTGTATATGACTAAACACAACTAAATGCACAGTTATGAATTTTGAAAGTTGTAAATCTTTGGTGTCATTGTGGCACAAAAAATACGCAGTTACGTTTTATAATGACATAAAACTTTATATGCAATAAAAGCAATAAAAAGGTGAAGCGTGCACTTTATCCAAATCGCTTATTCAACCAGAAACAATACAATTTTCAACTAAAGTAAACGCACGACCCTGACGGTTGTTTTTCAGATTCAGTTCATCCGGTTTGCTTAACAAACAAAAATTATAAGGAAATAGTTTAATTTGATGAGTATCATCTGAAAATATCGAACAGGTTGAAGGGTAGTAGTATTATTTCCTTATACGATTGGGTACGTTGAGAAAACTTGAGGTTGAAAGCTCTCTGAAAGCTCCCTCGTTTCAGATTGGTGCGAGTTTTGCCCACTAATGTGGCGCCAACTCTCATTGGTCTCCCTTCTCTTGGAAAATCTATAAAAGGACGCCGACGGAATTCGTATTCACATTTGCTTGTACGTTTTGCGTGTGACAGCTTCGCTGAAATAATTTCGTGTGTTCTTGTGAGTTCCCTTAATTTAAAAGATGAAGGCAGTTAGTGTGGTGTGCGGCGAGACCGGTGTTTCGAGTGTGACAACGGGAAAAGTGTCCAAAACTAGGAAGGATATCGAAAACGAGGAAATCCAAATGTATCTTAGTAAATTAAAGGATCTTGTGCCGTTTATGCCAAAAAATAGGAAATTATCGAAACTGGAAGTGATACAGCACGTCATCGACTACATTTGCGATCTTCAGAGCGCCCTCGAAACCCATCCGGCAGTCAATGCTTTTGATGCGGCCGCGGTGTTAAACCAAAAAAAATCACAGGGCGCAGTGAGTCCGAGGCAACCACTTGGTGTTAGGAGCAGCCCAAACACGATACTTGGACCCTGTGAGGCACCAGTGACACAAAATGCCACGGTTAGTATTGTTTAATTACGGACGCGTTAATTGGCGACCTTGGCTCAGTGAAAGCTCATTTTAAGTTTTGCATAACATCGCATCCTGGTTGATTTTGTTTAACACGTGCACGTTCCAGTTTTTTTTAATTTCCAACAATAACCCGCGGCGTTTGTGTTGCGAAACAAAAGTTGCAAAACTATTCGAATTTTGATCAATGCATAAATCCAAGATGCGGCTTCGGGCAGTTTCCCATTAAACTAATTACGTTGTTGGTCAGCTGCGCCTATATAAAAATGCAGTCTGTTAAACACGTGTGTATTACTTAGGGCAAGGGTGCTCTTTCAGCCTTTCAATTAATTTATGTTCATTTTATCACCCTCACGATGAGTGACAGTTCCGACTTTTATATGGGTGTTTTATTTACATTAATAATCCCGGGTAAAAAACACGTGTAAATTTCTGGTTTCCCACACAATTGCTCCATTTTAGAAATTACCTCACTTTCGGCCTAAATCGTCGGAGCGTGTCTACAATTTAGAAATTGGCATTTTGAAATGTAAAATCCGTGACTTGAAATTGTCGTAGCGGATGCACACGTGCAGTGAAATGTGCTGTTATGAAACTTTTTTAGAATAGTAATTGGCTACCTGCTCCATTTAAATTTTTACCATTCACTCTAACCCCTTTCCGCGTTTTACAATTAGTCGCTATTGAAATTTAATCATATTTTTTATCCTTACAGACGCCAGAAAAGCTATCGGAGAGGCGACCAGTTTCGTGTTAGAACCTAGCAAATTGTGTCATCGCGTCATTCATTCCAAAAGTTACACAAAGACGAGGATGGCATATTTCGAGATAATTAACACCTTTCTTCGCCCCATTTAGTTATAGGAGTCCGACTGAAATATCGCTAATTTATGTAATTTGTGATGTGGGAGTGAATGGGCTGGAGGACTTATTTGTTGTGTGAGTTGGAATTTCGTGAAGTACCTGTTTTTAAGTTGCAATCGTTATATAGAATTTTATTTTATTGTTTTTTTCATCACGCGGTGTTACTCTTCTCTTCTTTAGTTAGATTGTATACAATGTTCTTCAAAAAATTCAATTTTTCCCACTGATCACAGATTTTTGTATTTGTTTGTGACTATATTATGATTATTATTATTCTGTGATTTTTAGAGTAGTTAACACGTGTACAGAAATCCCGTGTCGATCCTATTTTAGTTTTAAAGATCTCCTCTTTGATTTCGACACATTTTTGTACAGACTTTATGTATATATAGACCCAATGGGTCTCCGAAGTTACAGTTTGTGACATAGAATTGTAAATTTTTGTTTTTAAGTATAAATTTGTAAATAGTTACCTGTAAATCCACTAAATTTGTTAAATTTTATTATATAAAGAAAGGATTTGAAATAAAAACAAAATATTTCTAATACAATTGATTCTTTAATTTGGCATTACGTGGAGAACTCGCAAATCGGACAAGGGGTAAGTGTTCCAGAATGAAAATTTTCAATAAATCTTTAAAATTGAAACTCCTTGCTCACTATTAATCTCTGGTTGTGAAATAAATTTTAACTCTTCACTAAGCAAATATAATATGCTACCTAATTATAGAGAACTGCGGAGGATATTTTTCCTAAATTATTGCATTTACCATTAACCTCAATATTGGTTCTGATCACGATCCAATACAATCTTGTAACTAAGATTCTACAGGGTAATTAAGTCCAAGTAAATGAAAATTGCATTATGGTTTCCCTGAAAAAGAATTCAATCTACATATTATTTCATTGCCAGCGAAAATATTAAGTTGGTGATTTGTTCTTTGCCTGGTTTTTTTTTACCGAAATATGTAGCAATTCATAATTGCAGGTGGTTGTTATTTGCGTTGCACATAAAAAGATGTTTAATGGATCGACAAGTAAACCTCCAATTGACACGTAAAAAATAAGATTCATTCCCGATTTGAAATTTTCTTTCTACGTACCTACCATTCAATTGTAAGAGTTCCAACTTTAGTTCACATCAAAATTTCTTGTTTTTCTGATTGATTATGCTTAATTAATCTGTATACAACTCTCCAATTTCCGCATAAGATCAAATTGGTCAGGATTTCAAGGAAATTCGCTCTTATTTTTAAAGTCAATTGTAACCTTTGTTGCACATTTTTGTAATGGATTGTGCTTAATCTAAGTAACAGTCTAACTGGCACATAAAATTCATTCCCACTTTAAAGTTTTGTGATTTTAAGAAAATTCGCACGAGCACTAGGTATATAGGTATCAATATTCAATCGCGGGGTTGTAACTTTTGTTGAACAAACTTTGTTTTTTTGACAGATGATGCTCAATAGCTCTTCATGGATTAATTTTCGGGGTTTGTACGTAATTTTGTTCTCTAGTAGCTTATGCTTCATTGATCTGTAAGCATTCCTTCAATTTCAACTTTAAACTCAATGTAACTTGGAAATCTCTGTATAACATAATTAGACGGGCCTTCGCCTTTTTCAACAAAAGTCCTTAGATAGTACTGAAATCACTTAAAATCAGTTCGAAATAGCTTGAAATCAAATCGAAATCTGGTGGTTATCGCTCGAACTAAAACCAAACACACTGTTGCAATTGAATTTGAAACTCTTATTAGGTACGTACCGTAATTAGTTACGATCAGTATACAGGGTCATTCTTGACGAGCGTCAGTTAGAAAGATATGGAAAACCTTTGAAAATTGAGCTGAACTGATAAGTCCTTTAAAGGTTTTGGCACATGATGAATTGAACTAAAATATTTTCAAAATGGCGCCACTTCCGGAAATACCGGAAGTAGCCATCAACTTTGTTATTTTAAATAGGGACCCCCTATTTTTTCTACATTTTCGGATTCTACGTCGAATTTGGAGTACAACGATACCCCATAGTTGACCCTTTGCTCCAAGGGCTTCGCCGATATTCAAATTTTTGTGTCAAAAATTGAATTTGCAGGGGTAACTTTAAAAATTTATTATTCGAAAACTGTGAGAGATATTGCAAAACAGTTTTCAATGCTTTATTAAGGAAAGATCAAATTTTCTTATGGTATGCGTAACCGTCTAAAAAAGTGAGACTACGTCACTTTTTCAAAGCTCTCAACTTTTAAACTTTTAAACATCCGTAACTCCATTTTTTCAAATGGCACCCCCATTTTGTTCTTCACCCTTGTTTTCCTTTTTCCCAGACCTTTAATTTGATGCAAAATTTCAAAAGCTGCTTCAAACGGTTTCCGAGATATTCCATGTTTTAGTTACTTCTTGTGGAAAGTTGATAAAAAAATTAAATCACTTGATCTTATTCTTTTGTTTTTATTATGATAATGTTTAAACGTCAAATTTTCGCTGCTTTTCCTGGCAGCTATTCGATTACATTCACCGTGTATTAATATTAAATTCAAAAAATCTTCATTAGTGTAACCCAAACGAGCCATTATTGACGAGAAGTATAAGTTCAAGCAGCGAAAATTTGACGTTTAAACATTATCATAATAAAAACAAAAGAATAACATCAAGCGATTTAATTTTTTTATCAAATTTCCACAATAAGTACCTAAAACATGGAATATCTCGGAAACCGTTTGAAGCAGCTTTTGAAATTTTGCATCAAATTAAAGGTCTGGGAAAAAGGAAAACAAGGGTGAAGAACAAAATGGGGGGTGCCATTTGAAAAAATGGAGTTACGGATATTTAAAAGTTTAAAAGATGAGAGCTTTGAAAAAGTGACGTAGTCTCACTTTTTTAGACGGTTACGCATACCATAAGAAAATTCGATCTTTCCTTAATAAAGCATTGAAAACTGTTTTGCAATATCTCTCACCGTTTTCGAATAATAAATTTTTAAAGTTATCCCTGCAAATTCAATTTTTGACACAAAAACTTGAATATCGGCGAAGCCCTTGGAGCAAAGGGTCAACTATGGGTTATCGTTGTACTCCAAATTCGACGTAGAATCCGAAAATGTAGAAAAAATAGGGGGTCCCTATTTAAAATAACAAAGTTGATGGCTACTTCCGGTATTCCCGGAAGTGGCGCCATCTTGAAAATATTTTAGTTCAATTCATCATGTGCCAAAACCCTTAAAGGGCTTATCAGTTCAGCTTAATTTTCAAAGGTTTTCCATATCTTTCTAACTGACGCTCGTCAAGAATGACCCTGTATAGGCCTGCTTTTAAATGATGTTTGATTAAGCATCAAACAAAATCAAGGCAACTAAGTGGATAGACCAAGAGTCAGTGCCAAAAAAATCTCTGAATTTACTAAGGCTAGTGTTTGTATAGTACACAAACATACTTCGATCAGTCAAGCGAAACTGGGACCAGACGTCGTACCTGCCGAAGTAATTAAATGAATTTACTAAGGCTGACAATAAAATTGTTATACAAATAGTATATTGTATCTATATAAATGAAAATTGACGTCAGTCACTAAAATGTGTGGGGGGGGGGGGGGGGGAATTAAACAAGTTCGGCATATACAGGCACCCAGTGCGTACTAGAAGGGGGGGGATACGAAATAGGCGCACAGGCGAAAAAGATTAGATTAGAACGGTATTTTATTTCTTACTGCTGACAGGCCCCTTTATTGCTTTTGCTTAACTTTGAATAATAGGTATATTTATGGGCAAAAAACCAATTTCGACAAAAAATTCAAAGGGCTGTAACTTTTGAACTAGTAGCCCAATCTTGCAACTGTTTGAAGTTATCGTTTCTACAGGCCACATTCTATAAGAAAATATTTTTTTTCCGGTCGATCGGAGACCATTTTTTTTCTGGGCAAAAAAAGGCAGTTATTACCTTCCTTTTTTTACCAAAAATCGACTGCACCAAAATTTCTCGGGAAAAAACTTTTTCTTATTAATTTGGGTGCGTAGAATCCAAAACGATTCGTACTTTTTCGTTTAGACGTCTCAATCAAAAGTTATGGGCAAAAAAATTCCTGTTTTTAAAATTTAAAATTCTTATTTTCGTCATTTCGTGAAAGGCAGGACGCAGGTACCTCACCTCAGTAGCAGTACTAAGTACCTGATACCTATTTGTTATTTTGGGCATCAATGTAGCGAATGACCGATCGATGCCGAATAGCCAAATCGTTGACTGCCAACACTGATCACTCACTGAATAGTGAATACTGAATACTACAGAATATTTAGATTTTAGTGACTTTAGACTTTAACCAAAACCAAAATTGCTCTCTATATGTATATACCTATATATTATTGCCTTTATTTTGAAGTGGGCGGAGCGGATAGCGGAGTATTACCTAAATACCTAATAGCTATGATGATAACTCAATTCTTCTGGTCGCGACCCTGTGACATATTTTGTAAAACTTATAATACCACAAACAGAATCAATCTAGTTACGTTTGTTTCTGAGATACAGAGATGAAAGCGAAGAGTTTGACTTTTTGGGATGCTATCATATCTTACTCCCATGCAAGATAGAAAAAAGTTCCTATTTTAGATGCATATTTTTACGTAGAACCCAGTGGCGTAGTCAAAAATATTTTTGGACCATCGCGTTTCTGAGATTTAACAGCATAGTGCACCCGCGCACAAAGCCATATTTCAGAGAAATTTTCAATTTGTGCATTTACATGGGTGGTAAGATATATCCCAAAAAGTAAAACTTTTAATTAATGGTTAATGAGGTAGTTGCAATAAAAACACAGACGTAAAGTAAAGACGATCTTTCTTCGACTACAGCTTTCGTGTGATTGGATTTTTATTAATGTGGCCAAGGGTTTACATAATATGTATTCCTTAAAAAAACAAAGAGGGTTTATTTTATATATGGAAATCAAGCATGACGCCCTTCTAACAT